ACCCTTCCCCAAATCACCCCAACATCCCTCCCATAACTGTTTCGTACTGGCTCCTTCCTGGCTGCCTACACACGTACCCAGGTCTCCTCTATCTTTAAAAAAAAAAACAAAAACACCTTTTCTAGGCAAGGAATTGATACCACTTTAGTAAGCAGCAATCAGAATGCCAAGATCCTCAATGTTTACACTTTTCTTTATTGAAGTCTTTCTTGTATAGGGTTCTAAAGAAAAAAAATCATAGTCTTTCAGTGTCCTGTTTCTATATAAACGGATTTTGGTAAATTGCTGTGTGTATGTGTGTGTAGAAAGTGGATGCTGAAGGGATCTCTTGGATTCTTGTGTAGCTTATCCAAATGGCATGGGTTGTGAGTGCTTCGTGGACAAAGAAGTATTTGCTGCTGCCACTTGGCCTTTTAATTTAATTGATTTTTAGTACTCAGATCAGTTCTTCTAAGTTTGTCTGTTTAGGAGTTTTTTCGTTGTTAACACTTTCAAAGTTAAAACAGCTGCACTTTCTTTTTCTTCATCACTAGTCCACTTAAAGATATTTGGGGAAAATAAGTTAACTTTATAGTTATTTAAAGGAAATCTATCACTGCTTCTTTGACAAGGTCTATTTACTTAACACACATTTGCATATATGAAGACTGCACTGCCTTTTTATAGGACCAAATTATAAACCTTTGCATATTGAGGGCTTTTGCTTTTATTTCATTTTTCTTTTCTTTTATGTTTCATAAGGCTTCTTTTCATTATATAAGAACAGTATATCAAACAATTATGAATATTCTTAACAGTAGTATATTTCCTACCTTTTCAGAGAATATATGTTCTAAATAATTTAGTCCCAATTTGTAATGACATTCCAAATTTGCAAAGTAAATAAACAACAAAAAAAAAGGTCAAGCTCCTAAACTAGTATTAACATCACGTGTAGTTTTCTTTAAAAGATTTTTACAATGGAGTCTCATTCAGTCTGCTATTGCTATCAGTCAGTTCATGTAAAGGTACTGCATTCTTACTCTACTGTAGAAGTTATTTACTTAATTTGGATCATTTAAAATTTAATGCATTAAGGTAAATTTTGCTTATTAATATTTTCTTATGTTTGGTATATAATTGTTTAATGCTTAAGATGTCACTGTGATGCTGTTACCTCTCAAGTCAAATACTATTCATTTCTCACTCTCAGATATGGGTGTTTGAGCTCATCCATGAAATCAAGCTAAGAGCTTTAGGACTTGTTTTCGTAATGGGTGCTGCTTATGAAACCATAGTTATATTAATACAGTGACTCTTCCAAATAAGCCAACAATTAAGATATACTTGGCTTTTATTTTTAATTTTTTCTAATTTTCACATGCACTTTTCATGTTTAGGAAGATATTAAAAATCACTTAATGTTGGATCTGGATTTGTCAGTGGAAAGTTGTACTAAATAACTAGTTTTGATTGCTGTTCTGTGTTTAAGGCTCTTTATTTCCTATCAGTGAGTATTTAAATAAAAGATTGCCAATAGCTAGTGTTAGACTAAAAAACACCACTGAGATGATCACCTTAAGCAGATCCCAAATTGAATTTTAGCTTTGCTGCATATTTATGTAAATATGGAGTGCATATTTAAAAAAATTTTTTCTCCCCTACTGTAGTTACTGTTTTCAAACCCTATTGAAATTTTCATAATAAGCATCGGTCTTAGCCTACCATTGCAATGCTCACCTTGTGACTCTGTAGAATTCTCATAATATATCTGTCTGTGCAATATGGAAGCTGTGAGTAAAGACACAGTTTTTCAGTCTGGTGGTACACTGCTTTATGTATATATAAGGACCAAAATCCTTAGCTTGCTTACACTATTGCTAGTGTAAAAATTGTTACACCTAATTTTACAGGGCACAAATTATGAAATTATTTCATAAACTGGTAAGTTATTTCCATAAATTATTGTACAAATAGAAAAATTACCATTTAATTATGAGGTTTATAGGCATTGAAAGAACCTATAAAATGCTAACTCACAAATTATATGGTGTTTGTATTTTGGGTTGTAGGATAAATCCAGATATCTATGCTGTGGTAATAATCCAGTGCTTTAACACACAATTGATAATCATTTCAGGCCCTGTAAAATAGTGTTACTATAAACTCTTTGCGTCCTGCTTTGTTTACATTAAACAGAGGATATTCAGTAAATTTTTTCTATTGAACTTTGTATAAATTGCTGACTCAACAGTGTTACCACGGTTTGGCAGTCACGGGACTATACAGTGAAGAAACTATCCCAAGCAGTGATCAGAGTATACTTTACAAAAAAGATTATAATAAAGTTCAACTTTGTGCTAACCAATGCATGCAGGACTAAGAGGGATATTCTAAAAATAAATTAATTTAATTAAAAAAACAAACAAAAAAAAACAAAACACCTTCACTTGACCCTGATAGCCTTTTGAGCTATTACCCTTTCTTACCCTTTCAATGCCAAACTCTTCTTCCTGCTTTCAGCCTAGCACTGTACAATGTAGCTTTTAATACAATGACTCAAGTGAAAATACTCTAAGGTCACCAATGATCTCTTAATAACTCTAGATCTATGATACCCACAATATCCATCACCGCCTCTGCACTTTCTTATTTCCATTGAGGGCATCATCCAGGTTCAGAGCCCTAAAGTCATCCTTGACTTTTCCCTTCTCCCCATCCCCCAAGTCTGGTCAAATTTAATCTCTATTATTTCTCGTATCCTTGCCCTTGTCTTCACTCACACAGCATTCACACCTTACTGTTTTAGCATACGTGGTCTTCTATGTTTCTCAGCTCTTCCCCTTTCAAACTATCATCCAAAGAACTATCAAAATAATCTGCCTAAGGCATGGTTTTGATACTATGTTGATCCTCTATTCAAAAATCTTCAGTGGTTCCCGATTGCTTTTAGAGTAAGCACTAACTCCCCTAGTTCCAACCAACAGTAACACTCATCCACTCTCGCACTCATTTCATATTATTCTCCTTCATGTGTCCTAAATTCAGGAAAAAATGAACTACTCGCTTCCCCACAAGCTTCTCATTTTGTCTCCAATCTCTGTCATCCCTGAAATACACTCTCTCCTTGGCTTCCTTCAAGATACAACTCAGACATCCCCTCATCTGAGAGGGGATCCTAAAGGACAATTTTCCTGCCCCCCTCAGTTCTTAGCATTTTCAATTTACTTTCTGTGTATGTGTGCATGTATATGCATACATATGCATAAATATACATTTCTGCGTATGTTATTTTCCCCCAAAATGAGATAACATTTGTAGTGTTTATCATAGTACCTGGCACATAGCAGGCATTTAATAAATGATTGTTCCCTTCCCCCAGTAGAAAGTAAAGCTCCTTAAGGGCAAGGACAGTATTTTGTCTTTGTATCACCAGCAACTAGCAAAGTTCTTTGCACATAGTAAGTATGTAACCAATGTTTGCTGAGCTAAGAAGGTCGGCTACCAGGTGATGCTTTTTATTTATACTGCTTCAGCTCAGAAAGACAACTCAACATATAGAGGGTTTACATTCCATGTGAGTAAAGGAAATACCTATATTGATAGAATCACAGATACTTAAGTTCTAACCAAGTGGCTAAAATACAAAGGTACAAAAGAGTCAAGAAGAACAACATTTTCTACTTTAATCAACAGCAATAATATGGTACAGCAGAGAGTGTGCTAGATTTGAAATCTGAAAGTGGAGTTGGACCAGCTCTGACACTTTGTAAAACTAAGTGACAACAGGCAATTCTCTGTCTCTTAAGTATCAGTTTCCTCATTTGTAAAATGGGGACAGGAATGCTTGTGCTACCTACCTTACGGGATTGATATAAGCAAAAGAGCTTGACAAACCTGAAAATGCCACATAAATGCGAGACCTAACGGGGATGGCTTCATGGACAAGGCAGCCTTGGAAAGATAGGTGGATAAGAATAATAATTATTATAAATTGGAACACAAGTTCTGACAAGGAAGATTCCCTTTTGCTAAGCCTTGTTATATATTCTTAGACTGGGGACTTAGGAACTTAGGTCTTAGATTGGTGATTACAAGTGTGGAGATCGAACATACTATTAGACTTGGTTGATCTGCTGGCTGGTTCTGCTAACTGCATTTTCTTCTTTCTTTTCTTTTCCCTTTGTTACAAGGGATGGCTTGCTGGATAGGAAAGGGGAGATATAACTGGAAATGAAGGTGATGTAAAGACAGAAGACAATCAAAATTTTAATGTAGACTTTTTAATGAATACAATGACAACAATGTAAACAGAATTAAAAAAAAAAACTGACACTATGTAATTACAACAGCCAAGAAGACATGAAAACGTTAACTTCCCTCCCTTCTTCGCAGATGTAGCGAACTATGGGAGTGGGATATTGCATATACCATCAGACTCAGCTGACATGCTAGTTTTGCTGAAATGATTTTGTCCTCCTCTTTTTTATTCTTTATTATAGGGAATGGCTCTCTAGCTGAGGAAGGAAAAAGGAGAGGTTGAGAAATGAAGGTCTTATAAAAAACAAAAGATAGCAATAAAAACTTAATGAAAAAGTACATTTTCTTTTCTTGTCGTCAAGACTATATTGGGAAATTTTATACATCTGACTACCACCATAAAACCTCACATTTCCACAGCACTTTGCTACTTCCTTTACAATATCCTTATGAGACAGGAAGTATTATTATGCTTATTTTATAGGTGGCAAACTAAGGCTCAAAGAAGAGACCCAATTTGCCTCTGGTCACTTATTCACATTAATAAACAGCATAGCTAGGTAACAAACTCAGATTTTGTGGCTCTGAATACAGTGCTCTATTATACTATTCAAATTCATTTATTTAAATTACATAGTCATGAAATAATTTAATTTTTTAATAACTCATTTAAAAATATGAACCAACAACTATGGTGAGGTAGGTACTACTATGATCCGCATTTTATAGTTGAAGAAACTGAGGCAGAGGTTAAGTGACTTGCTCAGAGTCACACAGCTAGCATGTGTCTAAGGTAAGATTTGACCTTAGGCCCAGTACTCTATCCACTACACCATCTGAGGCATCATGATGTAATAACACAAAAAGCTCTCTGACTCTTGACAGCTGTGCGATCTCAGTCAAATTTTCTCCTCTGAAAAATGGGAATAATAATTAATACTATTTACTTAAAGAGTTGAGTAGATTAAATGAGATAATTGATAATTGTTAATGAGATAATTGATAACACTTTTAAATCTTAAACCCACATATAAGTGAAAGTTAATATTAATCCCTCTTAAAAGACATGTTGTACACAGTAACAGCAATATTGTTCAAAGAATAACTGTGAAGGACTAAGTTGTTCTGAGTATTACAAATATGCAAATCAACAACAAAGGAAGGAAGATGCTGTCCACCTCCAGAGCAAGAACTGATAAACAGAAATATGCATAGTATGGTTTTATACACACACATGTATCGGTGTCAAACGGTGGCCTTCTCTAACAAAACAACAATGTGAACATTTCTTCACACAGACCTTTCCAGAACATCAGACTAGGGATGAAAACCTAACAAGTAAAAATAAGTAGTGTTTTTATTGTTCTGATTTAGGTAGTCCCTAAGTTGAGACTACTCTCAGTATTTACTGAAAGGCTGCAAGTATTTTTCTACTAACCATATATACTACAGAGAACATCTCCCAGGGCATTACAACGGAGCTAATGAGAGTGCCCATGGTTCACAACGGGACAAAGAATTCCAGTTTTTGATCAATCAGGTTCACAGCAGTTCTCTTTATATAGTCGTCTTTGAACAAAGTAGCAAACTCAGAACTTCCGTATCAAGAATATTTAAAAGGCATCTAACATACAAATAACATCCCACAGCTCTTAATGGCAACTGCAAAAGTTGCTGCTAGGGATCTATATTTTTAAAGACACATCAACTTTGGCACACGTTTCACAGTTCTACAATGAACTGAACAACAAGAGAAAAACGAAGACATTCCAAATATTTTAGAGTTGGTTTTTTGCCAAGACTAAGCAGCTCCATCCTGGAAGCGGAAGCAATCACTTGCAATCTTCCATACTGAGTTGTTGGGTGTGGCTTGTGCTGTCAACAGGAAGTTCTGGTTGAAATAGCGCTGTTTATTTCCATCAAACTTCACAGTCCCGCAGGTCACCACGAGGATAGTGGTTTGGCTCTGAGTAGCTTGCTCATGAACAGGCTGGCAATCCAACACGCTGACATGGAACTCACTGGAAGGCAACATCTCAAAAAACTCATTCAGGGCATCCTGTCCAGAAATAGCATTTCCATTCCAAATCAAAGTGGCGCTGTTCAGGTATAATCTAGTCAGCACCCTTCTCCTTTTATCAATGGTGTCATAGTAAATATTGACAAATTCTTCAGCAGCTCTACAAGCCTGGTCCACGTGAGTCTTAAAATCCACAGATGATGCCATTGCCATTTCCACTTCCCAGTGAACAGTTTCCAGTAAGGTCCAGAACGACCTACCTCCAGGCACGGGAGCAATCAGGTGGTTCAAAAAGTGCAGGAGTTTCAAAGAGGCCTAATTCCTATTACACTACTTTAAATTTAGGTAGACAAGGGGAAGCAGGGAGATGGAAAAGATGGAAATCCCCATCTGCAACATTAAAAAAAAATACATTCATTTCTGTCCCTTCTTCCCACTCCTTTGCAAACCTACCAAATTCGTAAGTTGCATTTAAAATGAGGAGTACAAGTCCTACAATTAAAGCCAGATACAATTACCAAGGTTCACAATTTAAACAATAGATTTTTCAGGCTACATTATCTCAACCTGACACAACTTAAGATGGAGAGCCATAAGGACAGTACCTAGGCATTTTCACATTAAAGACAATTATCAGGGAAAAAAATTCCTGAGGGGTAAGGGGCTACATGATCAGAGCCTTCTGGCTCTGACATGACTCTTCTTTTAGTTTTCACATTCTATAACAGTAAGAGCTGACAAATATAGCACTTAAAGATTTACAGTGTTTTTTACATATATTATCTCACTTGATCCTTACAACCCAGCATGGTAGGTACTCTTACTACCTCCATTTAACAAATTAGGAAACTGAGGTCAAAAGAAGTTGAGTAACTTAAGAGTCATGTAGTTAGTAAACACCTGAGACAGAGTTTGATTCCAAGTCTTTATAACTCCAAGTCCAGCACTCTGAAAGAACACTGAATTTAGAGTTATACAGTATTTTGTAGGTTTTGTTTTAACCATATATTATCTCACTTGAGTCTCACAACCCTGTGAGGTAGATGCTGTTATTCCTCCCATTTTACAAATGAGGAAACTGAGTTTGTGTGAATTACTTAAGAGTCATGCAGCTAATAAGCTAAACACCTGAGGCAGAATTTGAATCCAGGTCTTTCTGACTCCCAGGCTCAGCAATCCCAGGTGACTAGATCCTTGGAGAAGTACCAAATCAGTTAACATATGTAAAATACTTTGCAAACTTGAAAGTGCAGTGTAAATGCTAGCTAATATAAGTCATTTCCTAAGCCCCAGTTTCCTTACTGGAAAAATAAAAAAAACCTGCATTGCCAATCACATGGATTATTGGAAAAATCAAATAAAGTAATATGTAAGGTTTGTTGTATCCATGTGGTACTATACAGTGAGCTGCAATTCTAACCACTTAATATAAGGAAATGAGCATGAATTAAAAGGATGTAGCTTTGGGCTCTTTGACCACAAGGGTTCCCCCAGGAATAAGAAAGTTTCTCAACATATACCTGAGAGCTAAGCAGTGGCTCTTATACCACTGATGATGCTCTGGTAAATAGACTAACAGGTTGCCCACCAATGACACAAACATTCTAATCACTTGCCTAGAATGACAAGAAAATGGAAAGTAAGTTCATTTATCCCATCCAAAAGTATTTATTCACAATCCTCAGAAACAAAGCTTCAGAGCACTAAGCTAGGTCTTATATCAGATGGATTAAGACTCAATCTCCAAGAATCTCCAAGTCTCCAAGAATCTCCAAGTCTCCAAGAATCCCCAAAGAGGTGAAGTCATAAAACACTAAAATGCCAACACTGAAAGGATCTTATAATACAGATCATAACGATAACAACTCAATTTACTTCATGTTTGCAAAGCACTTATCTCACAACCACCATGAGAGTGCAATTTTCTTTTTACAAAAAAGAAAATTGAAGTTCAGAGAGGTGAACTGAATGCCCATTTCAGAGTGTCAGAGTCTTCATCTGAACTTAAAAGCAGGAAGGGATCTTAGAACACAGATTGTTGCAACACAGAATTTAATTCAATTCAAGCATAAAGTTCCAATTACGAACAAGGCACTATGCTAGGTCCTGGAGATACAAAGACAGAAATAAAATAATCTCTGCTGTCACAGAGCTTACATTAATAAAATATAAGAGCTGTAAGAAGCCTTAGAAGAAAAAAATGTTAGAACAAAAAATCAAATATCAAAGCTAGTCTCTATCTTAGAGATTACTTAGGTCAATCCTTTCATTTTTACAAACCTAGACTCAGAGAGATTAAATCATTTGCCTGAGGTCACACATCCAACAAAAGGAAAAACCAGGACTAGAACCCAGGACTTGCAAGCTAACCTGCTTTCCAATACAACAAAATGCCTACTCAAAGTCTCTACCATACTCTCGACATCATCCCCTTTCACCTTTCCCACTATAGTCGTGTTCATAAAATAGAAAGTTATAAAAAGATGTCAAATTCAACTCAGTATTAATAACCTTTGGACAGACTAGACTTCAGGTGTCCCAGTGGCACCAGTGAAGTTCAGCGCACTCCCACAGGAAGCTGTGCAAGCTAGAGGTAAGTGTGCTGAGTGGATAAGCAGACCAAATAATCTCCAGGGACAGTCTTTCAAATATAGGCCAGGCCAACAGCTATGAACATGCAAATTTCACTAACGGAGTTGCTCAAATCATAGACTAACAAAAAGACAGAAGGTGGCTGCTCTTAGCCCACAATCGAATGGAAGCAGGATAAAATACCTTACAGAGATTATATACCGTCTATCTTATCTGCAACCTCAAATGTAAGCAGGAAATACTATAGGAGTGTAAAAAGTATCACACTTTTTGGTTCATATCCCAGTTCCACAACTTAATAGTGTCACCCTGGCCTAGTCACTTTCCTACAGTGGTTCTCAGTTTCCCAATATGTAAAATGGGGATAAAAACAACTGAAATGCCTACCTTATATATTTGTTCAAATAAAAGTGAATAATGCATGCAAAATATTTTGTAAACATAAGGCACTAAGGAAATATTTGCTATAATTACTTTTTTTCTAGTGAAACTAGATCTCTAGGCTTCTTACCCTTCTCCAGATTCCTCTCGGAAGACAGAAGTTAAGGCCAGTGACACCAGAAACCACAATTTTTTTCCACAAATAGGAAATGCCGTGGCCTCAAACACCAAGACAAGTAGGCCTTTACCCCCAAAACAGGCTTAGCAACATTTCTGAAATTGTCAGGAGCTGAACTATAATCAAATCCATCTATAGTCAAGTTTATTAAGCCAGAGGCTGTGCAGAGACCTGAGTTCTGGACCTAATCAGTTCCCTAGGTCACAATACACAAATTACATTCCCTCTTTGGTCCTCCTTTTTCCCACCTGTCAAATACCCATCCCAGTTCAAATACAGGCAGCTCTTTTCCCCAATATCTGGTTTGTATAAAACACAAGTGAAGCCTATAACTGGCATTATTTTTAAGTGCATATCTATGTGAATTTTTCCTTTCAAAGATATCTTTTTTTTTAATCTCATTTTAGGAATATAGACTCATTAAGAGGAGTCTTATTATTACCTAGCCATTACGGTAATGTGTGTACTATCTACCTCACAGGGCTCCTGTGAAGAAAGCATTTGGTAAATTATAAAATGCTATTTATGTGTAAACTATAATAATAGTTTATTATTCAGTCAAATAAGGTATAATCTCTCCCTCAACTGCACCTATTATATGTTTATGTTATTTAAATCTATAGAATATTTATCTGTGTGAATATCTTATATCCCCATACTAGACTTTTCTCTTGTATGCATTATCCTTAATGCATGTTTGTTGTAATCATTCTTACGTTCAACCAATAAATTCATGAATAAATGAATGAATCTCTACTGGCCTAGGGGTCAGACAATGGTAATATCCTATAGATCGAAGATCATCTGAGATCAGTTGGTCTAATCTCCTCATTTTACAGAGAAGAAAACTGAGGTACAAAGAGGGGAAATACCTTGAGCAGTGCCCATTTGCCCAGCTCCAGTTCTGGGATCATGCCATGTCTCACTTAACAAAGGGCAAAGACCCAATTCTTGGGCTTTCTTGTGTGTAGGAAAGGGAACTTAAAAAAAAAAAGGTTAAAGATAATTTCTGGTCATCCTAAATCTGTACTTTGTTGCATTGATTGTACAAACCTTTATCTGGTTAGTTGTTTGCTAGGCACATTCTGCAAATATTTTGTGTTACCTGTGCAGTGAGGCTGAAAGTCAGAACATTCTCCTACTGACTAGCAAGTCACTTCTCTGGGCATCTTTCTTTCTCTATAAATATGTGTTGTATGAGGTATCGTCCTGTGACCATACTCCAAAGTTCTTTCACACTCTGAATTTTTGTGATTCTAAAGTTGACAAAAGAAACCGCTCTATCATCTACATAGGAAAAATAGGACCAAGAAGAGAAAACAAATAGCACCAATGAACCCAATCCCAAAGCTAGAAAAACAGTCAGGAGATGTGGGTTCTAATCCAGACTCTCTTACTTAATAACTGTTTAAACCTGACCAAGTCAAAATCCATCTTGGCCTGTTTTTCTTCATTTGCAGGATGTGTGTGGGACTAAATGATCCCTAAGATCTCTTCAAGGTTCAAATATATGATCTCTGTCCAAAGACATACAAGGTTAAGGCCAAGTCTAGAATCCAGGTCTCAATTTATGACCTCTAACGAGCTCTTGTGCATGTTTCATGAGTTTAGGCCAAGGCTTTTCCTAACCCCACTCACCTGAGCCATCCTGAAAGCTGGCATTCGCTTCCTAAACATGCAGGGGTGGGAAGATGGCAGAAGAGCAACCAGGTCTAGGCAAGTCAAGGGCACATGGTAATGCTGGAGAAGACAGTGCAGGCATCCAACTGTTGGCCAGCACCTGTAGGAAAAACAGACACTGGAGAACTTAGGATAGAGGCCAATAGGCTGTAGAGTCACAGGAGGAGTGGTTGTAGCCTGTCTTAATCTGTGAAAAACAGTAATAATTCACATTACTATACCACCCAAAAGGTGACAAAACATTTCATTATCACACCACCACTGTGGAATGGATTCAAGAATTATCACCTCCATTATCTAGAGCGGTGGTTCTTAATATGGAGTCCATGAACTTGTTTGCTGTTGGGTTTTTTTTTTTAAACATATATGATAACTGTCAACATAACTGGTTTCTTCATAATCTTGGTACTTTATTCTATGCATTTAAAAACATTGTTCTGAAAAGGGCTCCACAGACTTCACCACACTGCCAAAGGAGTCCAAGACAACACAAAAAGTTAAGATCACTTGACCTAGAGGGAGAAACTGAGTCTCAAAGTGAAGTGACTCGCCCATTGTTACACAGCTAAAAGAGCTAGGCTTAGAAATCCCGGGCTTTTTGACTCCAAGTCCGTGTGTAAACTGTAAAATACTGTCTGAATGAGTAAGAGAATTTCTTTGAAGAGGAAGCCACAGAAGAGATGAATTAGATTGTGGAGAGAAAGCCCGGGGGAGGGAGGGAAGAGTAGGGGAAATTTTTCAGTAGAAACGTAGGTGGGGGAGGGGAAGAAAGGGTGATATACAGAAGAAAAAAATTTGTTGAGGGAGGGGGTCTGATTCCCGGGGAGAAACTTTGGGTGGGGAAGAGGTCAGTGAGAAGAGAGACAAGGAAGATTTAAGAGAATAGGCCACTGAAGGTAGCTGGCCGGATAAGAAGAAATGAAACCTTGCCGGGAGCCTTGGCCAGTGTTGGGGGGTTGCGCGGGAAGGGGCAGCCATTCGAGCAGGGAAGGGAGGGGAACGGCGGGAACGCAGGGATAGAGGCCTTGGACTTCTGGAAGGGGAGGAGGCCTTGGAGGCACGAAAGAGAAGGGGAGGGAGGAAGCATGGCGAGAGGTGGGGAGGGGAGAGGCGATACTGGGGGGGGAGACAGGGAGAAGAAAGAAAGGGGAGGGGGTGACGGAAGGGGCTGAGGAATGAAGGGGCCGGTCCTAGACAGGAGGGGGGCGTCCTGGGAGGGGGAGGGAGAACCTTAGAGGCGGGCGTCTGCTCTCTAGGGGTTAGGCCTCTTACCCCGGAAGGAGGAGGAGAAGTGAGCGGATGTGTCCCCTCCAGGGAACTCGGAGCTCGAGCCAGAGAAGAAGCCGGAGCCGGATCTGGACCAGGACCCGAGCTCTAGACGCGAAGCCCCGCCCCCTCGGCTCACGTCCCACCAATCGCTGTGCGGCGTCGGATTCGGGCGTCCTCCGGGGGGGCGGAGTCACGTCCCCTAAGCCCTGCCCCCCGGAGGACTAGAGGCGGGGGAGGGGGGAAAGCTTACTTCCAGCTGGGGGAGGATACCGGAAGGATCCTTTGGATGCTCTCCCTTAACCCCCTGAGGTAAGGCAGTGCAGGGATGGTCACTCTGGGTTCATAAATGGAGGAAAGTAAGGCCCTCGAAAAATAAAGTGCCCAAGGTCACAGGGGAATTTGCGGCCTCGAGGCCATGTGTGGCCTTCTAGGTCCTTGAGTGCGGCCATTTGACTGAATCCAAACTTCACAGAGCAAACCCCCAATCAAAGGATTTGTTCTGTGAAGTTTGGATTCAGTCAGATGGCCGCACTTGAAGACCTAGAAGGCCGCAGGTTCCCCACTCCTGCTAGATAAGCTTCTGGAGGGCAGACTCACTACCCTTAAAATCTAGGTGTTTTCAAAGCAATAAGCCCTTTTTGAGGAAAATGATAATGATGACAAATAAAGACATACATATATATCTGTCTGTCTGTGTCTATATCTGTCCATACACACACACACACACACACACACACACACACACCTCTCTTGCTTTTCTGTCTTCCTGGTGGATTAGATACTAGCAACAGAATAAATGGAAGCTCCTTGAGGGCAGGGACTGATTTATTTTTTACTTTTCCTCCCACCAGGGCCTAGGACTGTGTGTACCTGATGTATACATAGCAAGTGATTGATACAGGTTTGTTGAATTGAATCAATTTGAATTAAATGCCCAAAAAGTCCAACACATCTTGGTATCAGTATCCACATTACAGGAGAACCCTGTATTGAGTATTTGAGCTGTCACTCATTATGTGACCTTGAGCACATCACTTAATATCCTTGGTCTTCCATGTTTTTCATCTGTGAAGTGAGGGCTCTGGACTAAGTGATTCTTGAGGTCTTTTTTTTTTTTAACCCTCTGACATTCTATGATTATTGTGGCCTGTGTGAAAGTTTCAAGTATATCTTTTGCTGAAGAGATGAATGTTTAACTATAACACAAATATCTTTAAAGTGACACCTGTTTTTTCCATATTTTATAGTAGCTATGAAACCAGGGATGTATTCTTGTGGAGGAAATTTCCTAATAGAGGCTTTTAACTGTACTTAAACATAGTCTCTTTCACAGAGCAGATGCACAATAAATATTTATTGACTGAATGTTGATGAAGGAAGGGGTTAAATATGTGGCTTCCCCAGTAGCATGCTGGAAGTGGTAGTATATCAGCAGTTCTAAGCCTGCTGGGAATGCTCTGCAAAACCCTGAGAATTTTGGAATTTGGGATTTCCCCACTTCTCTATGATCCTTAAAATATCTCTCTTGACCACTTAGCCTTTTACTCCATTTTCCTGGTTCTGTGCCATATTCCCTAACCCTTTTGATCTGAGTATTGGAATGATATACCACATCAAGTAATAGCTTACAATAAGCTAGGTAGTACAAATGTTATATACTATATTACAAATAAGAAAAATGAGGTTCAGAGAGATTAACTGATCTGCCCATATTCATAGTTAATAACTCTTGTTATGGGATTTGACCCCATTAGGTCAAATATTTATATACATATACACACTGTTGTATGTATGTGTGTATATATACACATACACACATACACACATATACAGTGTGTATATGTGTATGTATATATAGCTACGTATGGGCAGCTAGGTGGTGCAGTGGACAAAGTATTGGGCTTGGAATCAGGAAGACTTCTTCATGAGTACAAATTCAGGCTCAAATACTATAGTTGTGAGACCTTAGGCAAGTCACTTAACCCTGTTTGCCTCAGTTCCTTATCTATAAAGTGATCTGGAGAAGGAAATGGCAAACCACTCCAGTGTCTTTACCAAGAAAACCCCAAATGGGGTCATGAAGAGTCAGATACAACTGAAACAATTAAACAAAAAAATAGCCATGTAAAGCTATGTCTGTATGATCATGGTTGGACTGAACCAGTATACTAAAAATTAGAATACCAAAATTAATTTTTCAGATTTAGTGCTATATCAGTCAAATTGCCAAGAAGATACTTTACAGAGCTAGGCAAAATAATAACAATTTATTTGGAAGAATAAAATGTCCAGAATTTCAAGGAAACTATGAAAAAAAGAACAGGAGGAAATAAAACTTTCAGATCTCAAGTTAGACTATAAAGTAGTAATCATCAAAACTTGATAAAAAGTAGATCAGTGGTAGGGGCAGCTAGGTGGTGAAGTGGATAGAGCACTGGCCCTGGAGTCTAGAGGACTTGGTTCAAATCCAGCCTCAGACACTTGACACTTACTAGCTGTGTGACCCTGGGCAAGTCACTTAACCCCAATTGCAAAAAAAAGAAAGGTAGATCAGTGGAACAGATTAGATCAAGAAGAATAAGAAAGAATTTAAGTCAACCAAGTGTAAGATAAACTGAGAATATAAATTATTAGGGAAGAACTCCCTCTTTGACAATAATTTCTGGAAAGTTTGACAAATTATATTTAGTCTAACATGTATCATCATAATAACCTCAAATTGGTGATGCATTCTGAATATGAAAGGTCAGGACATAAAAAAATTAGAAGAGAATGAGATTAGCTACCTCTTATCAGATATGACTAGGGGAAGGGTTTTTTAAATAAAAAATTTATTAATATCTTTAGTTTTTATATCACCTTCATTTCCTAACATCCCTCCCTCCTCCACTTCCACAAAGAGCCATTAATAACAAAGAATAAAAAAAGGGGATGGGGGGGAACCTTTCAGTGAAACCAACCAACAGAACAATCAAGTCTGACAGTGTACAAAAGGTTTCATATCCACTGGCTCCCTATCTCTGTAAAAATTTCTCCCATAGATGTAGTTGTAAAATGTACCTAATCTGGTTGCCTTCTCCAAGAAGGTCAAAGACAGAACAGAATTGTCCCAAGTTTACCCAAATTTCATAGCAGCACTTTACTGGCAGCAAAAAAAGAGATTAAAAGAAAAACCCTGAAACAAAGTGAGTACCCATTAATTGGGGAATGGCTAAACAAATCATGGCCTATGAATGTAGGAATGAATGTTATTGTATTATTATGAATGTAGGTAAGAATATTACTGTGCCTTAAAAAATAATGAATAAGAAGTGCTTCCGTAGTGCTATATATGGATCAAAGGGTGTGTGGAGATGTTATACTACAAAGTGACCTTTGTGTTGTAATTCCAAATTGATTTCCAGAACAGTTGGATCAGTTCACAGCCCCAGCAACAATGCATTAATGTGCCTGTCTTCCCACAGCCCCTCCAACATTTACCATTTTCATCTTTTGCTTTCTTTACCAATCTAATAGGTGAGGAGAAACCTCCAAATTCATCACTTTTTCCATTACATCATAATGCCTGCCATCTAGTCCTCCATGATCAGGGCCTGCCTTAACTACCTTTTCAGACATCTCCCCCAGTTCTCCAGCCTCTTCCTCTGTGTATTGAAAGAGACCCAGGGCAATCCACAAAGGAAAGACCCAAGATCATGAATTTTGTAGATGTTTTTGTTTTTGTTTTTGCTACTGGTCTGTCAACAATCATTTATTAAGCACCTACTATACACCAG